ACTTGTGGCAAAAACAATTACATCACAAACTCAGTGAATGTGTTGTAATGCATGGTGTACACATTAGCACAGTTTGAATTAAGGGACAGCAGTAATGGTCTTTCAACAGATGTGTTTGAACTAAGGCATGTGAGTGTGGGGGTGAGGGGACTCAGGCTGGTGAGATCAGACCGCCACAGATGCCATTGGGCAAAGCGGCCAAGTTTGGCACAGTGGCACTGCTTGTAATCCTCATAGCGTGTAATAGGGACTTTCACAGTAAACCCTAATTTGGAACTATTTGTAATATGCCTGAGAGATCATGTTACTTGACGACAAAATGTGGGGGTTGATGAGATCCTCAAGTTTATTCATCATTGTTAGTGCTTACAACACATTGAAACAAAGAACAGTCTCTTCTTTAGTTTGATTTACTTGTCACCTATAAAGACTTACAAAGACCACCTAACAATGATGTTCACACTGATTTTAACCTGAAGGCTGTCCCCTCATGTTAGATAATGAGGCACCCTTTCCCTGTTCGTCTCTAGAAGCTCTGACAGTTTTGCACTTGGGGTCATCTGGCAACGAGGGAGGCTGTGGCTTTGGGACCTCTCATAGTGTCAATGACTCCATGGAAAAGGAAATCGAAAACAATAAAAGGCTTGCCGCCAAAGTCGGCTGGCTCCACACCAGCCAGAGGTGAAGAGAGTTTGTTTGTAGTGGTGTGACTGTTTGAATGCCTAATCAGTCCAACATGCGACCGGTCCAGCTTCTCGCAGTTGGTTCCTGTGACTGACAGCACAGAGAACCTGGAAGTGACAAGGAGCAGGGGAGGTCACAGGAGAGCGTTAGGGTGTCCACTTGTCTCACGCGATATGGAATCACTACAGCACCTCGCACCATTGTGCTCTCATCTAGCTTGTCCTGCGTCAATTCAAAAGAATGCAATCTATCCAGCAACTTGGAGGTGGAACAGTGTGATCATTTGACACTGATTTAAATGTGGTGTCATGACTGCGAAGGACATACTAATGGACTTTGCTCTTAAAGTTAAAATGTTTAAGGGACCACAGCCGGAGAACAGAAACTCAGAGTCAGTCAGAGTGGACTGCTTCTCTGGCGACCTCCACAGAGCCTTTGAAGATAAAGTTATCATGACATTTGGGAAAATTGCAACATTAGCATGGCCAAAGAATGCCTCTGTGCTTCTTGCCACTTTTTCTTTACTCTTTGTGTTTATGGTTTGACGGTTTGTACATCAGTTCTGGTGTTTTGTTGAAGAATCACAATTGATCATCTTTCTGTGTCTTTCTCACCAACAGTATTTTTAAAAGGTTATGATAGACATAAAATACATTTTTCTGTCTCCTGGTGTTTTACTAAACAAAGATTTGTTCTTAGAACTTTTGCCTGATTAAATATGAGCTAAAACAAAGACTATGGTGAAAAACAAATACCCCAAATTTCCTGGACCTTCCAGAGCTCAAGCCCCAAAATCTGCTTTCTGAGCGTCTGCTGTCAGTTACAGTGGATCTCTGCCATAGAATTCCTTGCTCTCTTAAATTAAACCCTTCACCAGGCCCAGCTGGTTCGCAAAGTAGGGAGAAGGGGAAGAGGGGAGATGGAATGGAGCGAGTAAATCCATCTTTCCCTTCTCCAGTTTGGCAACCTCTGCTTTTTGCCATTAACACTTCATGTCTGGTCGGCGCAACTCCTGAGGCATCTTTTGGAGAGGAGTGATAAGGACGCACAAATTGGGAGAACAAGTAAGAGAGAGGAACTAAGAGCTGAAGACAATGTTTTGATTAATGTCTCTTGTATTCCCCTGGTCTGAAACAGAGGATTACCTTACCTAACCCCAGTGGAGCATGAGCAAAAAAAAACTGCCGTTTTGAGATTGAACCCAGATATATCTGTGCTCACTGGCTCACATCCATCACTTGTACTGGACCCAAGTTCGACAACATGACTTGTGACTGAAAGAACCAGCCATACTGTCTGGCCAGTTTTGTTCCAGTGTCAGTCTTCAGTGTAAATACCAACGCACAAGACATGGTACGGCAGGAGGCGATGAATATTACAGCTTGTCCCTCAACACATTTTCATTTCACATTCCTTCATTGTCAGAGAATGTCAAGACTTACTTGTACCCTCGCTGAGGTCATACCTTAACCTGCCGCCACAAATGAATCACCATTGTAGGGTGACGGTAAATTATTCACTGACACGTCATCCTAAATTTCACCTCAATAACCTTCAGGTGCACTGCACAGCTGGGAAAGCCAGTGGTCTTTTCTGAATGGAAACTGGCTAGTAAGCCATGTGTCTATCACCTTCTTTTTTTTTTTAAATGAAGGAAACTATGATGCATTGGAGTACTGCATCACTTACCTTCCAATATCCTTGGCCCTGAATCCTCCCTCCTGTGTAGTATTTGGTTTCGGTCCCCTCCATTTCATATTCTGAGTATTGACCTTTTCTAGGATTCCTTTGTCCAAAGCCCAAGACAGTTGGGGGTTTCAAATGGTCTCTGTGGCTTTTTCCTATAATGCCTTGATGATCACAAAGAAAATAAGACACTGCATAAGTCTACAGAAATCCTTCAGCTTGTCAGCAATCAAGAAATACTGGGAGCAGGACCAAAGAAACGAGATGAAATGATATCACAGCCATGGTGCAGACTTTCGATGTGTGTGGTTCAAGAAAACAAACAACATTGCTGTAGACTTCCAATAATATGTGAGCTAAAACAGGTCTATTTGTGTGAACTGACATGTTGCAACAATAGTAGTTTAACAAAAGAACAGAGAGCTCTTGTATAAAAACTCTACCCCAGTTCTAGCAAATATACAATCAGTAGATGCCAAAGTAACAGTGGTCCTGATTTTGTTAGCATGTCCACTCACTTCCACCCCTATAATTTCCAATCTCCAGGGTAGAATTTGTTACTTTGGAGCATATTATTTGCCCAGTGTTGTGATGTCAGAACTACACACGATAACGTTTTTTGTTCTTCTTCTTCCTCGTATAAACCTTGCATCTTTCAAGGCCTGCACTCATGGTTGCACACACGGACACACACCCTCTGAGGTTGACTTCTGCGTGTCTGCATCTTGTCTCCTGATCTCAAATCGGAGAGTTGAGCTCAACGTGGCAGGTGCTGGCCCTCACGCCAGTTGGGGTGATGCGCAGGTTGGCCAGATGATGGATGACTAACCGAAACGTCTCTGCTCTCTCTTCATGTATCATGTTCCATTAACATACAGAATCTCTGTTGCGCAGACTATGCTGTATATATTCCAACACTCACGATGACAAACATAAACCACATTGGACATTCTGTAATCCGAAGGCCAGACCAGACAGAACTTTTTTTTAAAGAAAAAGAAAATGTTACAGACATCCTGTAACGATCTTGTTTTTTTCCTTCAAATTTTTGTAGGCATGTGGAGCTGACTGATAAAAAAAAGATGGATAAATGAGACAGATTCCTTGTGTCAATGCAAGATACACTGGATAAATGAAAGCCCAATATCAGACTGATTTATATAATAATTGATTACTGTTGTTATTACTTTGAGGTGTGTCTTGGGATGGTTGAGCAATCGAGGCGTATCGAGCAGAAAGCTTTGAAGGAGATGGATTATTGAAAGGATTCTTAGTTTAGTGTTTGGGCTCGCATTTCATGCTTAATCTGGCAAGGCCAGTGCCCACATTTGTTTTGACTAAGTCATGAAACTCCACACTTCCAACTTTATATCCGTGTCTCCCTGCACATTCCTGATCTTTGTCAGTATCATTACCTGCACCCTGCAGATTGCTGGACTCCGATCTTGCCCTCCAGTCTGACCCCCCCACTCCTCACCTCCTTCCCTCAGCTGGTTTCCCATGCTCAGTTGCACTCACCCTAGATTTAGTTGGCTTAAACATATTGATGAAAACAAGATCCTTAGTGGAATTGCTTGCTGGCAGCTTTCAAATGTCCAGTCATTACTCCAACATGTTTATCTCTGATTGGGGAAAGAGCAGTTCACAGCCTCTTTTAATACAACTCATTTTTTGTTGTTGATAAAAACCATTAAAAAAAAAGTGTAAAAGTGTTTTGTGTATACATTTAACAAATGTTAAGCATGAATTTGAACATTTGTTTTACATGTCAGTCCCATACAATGTTTTTTCCCCCCTATTTCATATCAGCCACTTAACCCAAGCAGTGCAATAATTCACTTGTAAATATTTCTAAGTATTTCCAAATGTTTTATCTTCTCATGACAATTTTACATGTGCATGTTTTAAGATTTATGGCAACGATAAAATACAATTGAGTTTGAAATTCAATATGTGTAAATGGTATCGTCTGTGGTTTCACTTTTCTGGGTTTTTTACTTTAAGATTTGAATTTATTTTTCATGAGCAGGTGATGAGCATTTAATTTCATGTCCTTTCCCTCTTTCCAAACGTATTTAAAATTCTCTTTCTTTATGCTCGATATGTTTCCTCTTGTCAGCAACGAGATATCAAAGCTGGGATATAACTTTAATTGTGTGTTAAATCCGGCCAAAAGCTTTTGCCGCCCAGAGATTAGTTTGAAGCTTTTGGTATCAGAAAGAACACACTGCTCCCTCCAGTGTTTAGATGACAGCATGACCAGATGATCAAGCATATTTCATGTTTGGTCTATCATGTTTCTGACTCACTGGGGGTCAACTCTTTCCCCGCCTAAGGTGCAGTTCTTGGCTCTAAAAACATAAATGTTTTCAATCAAACCTAATCAAGCACACATGATATTGTGTAATTTTTCATGTGCCTTATTTTTTTTAAATACATTAGGAAGGAGAAATTACAGATCCTGTAAAATGTCTTGATGAAAGATTGCGTGATGTTTTTTATTTAATGATAATTACTGCTGAATAAATCACGTTTCTGTTATTATTGCTGCCATCTGCAATGTGTTACAATATTTCTCATGTTGTTCCTTTCTCTTTACTCAACTGCCTATATATCATTTTCTCGCCAAGGTTACGGCAATCTAGGAGGCGGTGGAGGTTATGGAGGAGGTGAGTTTGTTTCATTTGGAATTAAAACTGAAATTGCTGGTGTGTGTAACATTTAGTTGAAAGACGGTTATAACACTATATTCTTTATACCACAATAGATTATGAAACTCACTCACCTTTGCCCTTTTGTTTTCTTTAGGTGGTTATGGTGGTTATGGTGGTTACGGTGGATATGGTGGAGGAAATGGAGGCTTTTTCCCAGGAGCTGGACAGAAGGCTGCTAAAAGAGGTACAACCGAGGGCAAAACATGTCTGGGTAGATATTAAATATACATATCCTATAAAGGGACCAGCCAATGGTACCTTATTGATGCTATGTTTAAACAAATAACGGACGGCAGTCAGATTTTCAAACTTTCAGAGTCTAATGAACTTTTTGAGACCCAGGGTGACCTTTAAACTAAAGTATTGCATTAACATCAACTACTCTATAGCACTCTATTGTAGTTGTAAATCAGTAAAATAGACATTCCCAGATAAATACTTCACCCCAAAAGTGCAGTTTAATCCAAGTCTAATTTTACCAGTCACTGCTTGCAGAGATCATGCATGTGTTTTAGAAATAGTGAGCGTATGACTTGATAAATGACACTTGGATTATTCTGCAAGCGTTGTGTGAGAGTTTGTAAACACAGTTTTACTATTGTTTACTGTTTAAACACTGCCCTCATATACCTCAAGTCACCAAGAATTGTTTCATTTTTTTTTTATCAACATCATCATGAAGACATGCATGAAAAAGATTCTTCCAGAATGTAAGGTAACAAGGGATGAGTCATTAGTAATAAAACATATTTCTTTAAGCGTATAGCTGCTTTCAGTGTGTTTAACAATTTAACTCTGTTGCTTCAGCTGGTTGTATCATTTACTCAAAATGATTTTGAAGATATCAATTACACTTGAACAACATGACCCCTGATGTTGGTCTATTTCTTAGTGTTTAAAAAACACAAGATAGATTTGTGTATCAATATTTACTCTAGGTTTGAATTCCTTGTGTATTCAAAGTTTATCTTTCAATCGGAAACAATATGTGACTCATCTTTTTTTCCTTGACTCTTAAACGGGCATCTTTCTAAAACAGTCTTCAGTGCAGGAGGCTCAGGGGCTGGAATGGAAACTGGGGGTCATCAAACAGAATGATGTATTTTTGTTTCTTTGGAACGAGACACTGATCTTATTCCACATGCCTGTTTTAAGATGTGTGTTTTGATGGCTGCAGTGATAATATGTGGCTTTCCACTTTGTTTCAACCTTTCAGTTTAAATGCCTCAAATTACAAAGCTTGGTTCTCATATTTCCTTTTTTGGCTTGTAGTAAAAGAACCCTGTAGATGTGAAATGGAAATTGTGATCTTTTTAAAATGTATATTTGGAACCACAAAGATGATCTCTTCCTTGTGTTGAAAAAACTTTTGTGGCATCAGTATAGGTATCATGCAAATGAACTGCAACACTATTTTTCAACACTGGCTTTGTATTTACTCAGGAAACCAACTGCACATATCGGTTTGGTTGAATCATTGCCACACATGAAAGCATTTTCTGTTTCTGAGACTAAACATAAAAAGCCACAGATAATCTGTTATGGTTGAGGGTTATAACCTAAACCTCTTGTAGTGATGAATACAACTACAATTCTGGTGTCCTCCTCCAGGTGCAGGAGGATCTCTGCTACCACATGCAGGTAAGCTGATTGTTGGCCAGATGGCAGACTACTGTACAAACGTGAACTTTTACAGATCTGCATGCTTCTGTTGCCAATAGGAATGTTTCAAATTAATGGTAACTCAGCATGAAAAACAGTTTGGCAAACACAAGCACATTTTTATATTGTAGCTGCAAACCTAGGACTGTTTAAACTTCGACAGAGTGATCTTAAAGTCTGTGCTTTGTCTGTGTGCGCAAACAACGTGCTTGAAATGATGGAGTCTGATTAAGCATGGAGTTGTTGTACCGTGGCGAAGAACCTGCTATTAAGTATTGGTTGGCAACGACCACACTGCAGCCCCTAGAGTCAGTCTGTACTCCTTTCATGACACTCAAAATAAAGAGTTTCCTCAAAGCTAAAGAGCGCAGACAATACAAAACATTCCCTTTCCAAATGTTTCCTCATCGAATCTCCCTGAAGACATACTTAAGGCAGTGCGCAATGTCTGTCCGGCAATGTCCGGGGAGTTTAACATGACAAATGGACAAAAAAGTTTCAACAAACAAACCAATGTGTTTTATCCTGCTGCCAAACTCCCTTATGAGTTAAGTTGATGGCTCATTTCCTGCAGGGGATAGCCAAATAAATGAGGCATTTGATGAGGCAAGGCTAATGCCAGGCATGCTGCCTGACTATACTGATTTGATTTAAACTCAGCCATGTTGCTTTTGATCATAGCATGATGACAGGCGTGTACAGCCCGATTAGCTGCTCTCTAGTATAGCAGTGTTCAGTCCTTCGATGGCTCCCTGCTGAAATGAACCTGGCACAAGTAGACTGCTCATCCCTCTGCTCAGCATCACAGGGCCCTCCAGTGGCCATGGGATGTAACACTACTGAGTATTTGTTTTGTAAGGTTTTCTTTACTGTTATTCTCACAAAATGTTTGAATGGCTTTATCCTCAGACCTGTACATGTATATCAATATCTTCTGTTTACAGTGGTGCTCAGTAACTAAGTACATCACTATAGTACTTTGCTGAAGTACAATAATGATGTACCTTAAGAATTGTCCATGTCTGTTTCTTACTCAACTACAATTGATAGGCAAATATTTTACTACATGTGATTACTTTGAAATGAAATAAATACTTAAATACAAATAATTATCATCAGTTACTTTAGGTTAGGATTAACTTTACATCCTTTGGTAGAAAATCGCATTCAACTGTAAAACTATACTAAAGTAGAACATTTTTTAAAGAATTGAAAGCTTTACAATTAACAATAAAGTAATAAACACATTAATACATCAATAATGGTATGTTTATTATTCTAAAATGGTCTGTTGTGCAGAATGAGTACTTTTGCTTTTGGTACTTTAAGTATATTCTGATTTCTCAAGTAACATTTCAATGATCTGAGTACTTCGTCCAATTTTGTGTGTTTCTGTCTGTGTACTTTTACTTCAACAGGCGCAGGAACTGGATCCGCAGTACCTGTTGGAGGCAAGACTAACACATCATTATTCTTTATTACATTTTGCACTGTTGATGGTCATAACGTGATTTCTGCCTCCCAAGGACTTCAACAACAATTAGCATTCCTTTTGAAACTGTAATGCTTTAGGAATTCTACAACATTGCAAACCTCAAATTGGCCCTTTGTTCTCTGACCGGGAGCAACTTTCGGCTGCAAATATAGTACTTATCCCTAATGTATTTAAGAAACACTTTTATAGTTAGTAAAGTGTTGAGAGTCCTTGGGAGGCAGAAACCACATGTACAGCTTGACTCAGCTTCTGGTCAAAGTAGATGCTTATGTTTTTCACCTTTATATATTTGTTGTCAGATGTAGTAACTTTTAATCTTTTTTTCAGGACCTGTTATTCCTCAGATGGGCCTTCCAGGAGGGGGTCTTGGTGGTGGTCTTGGAAATAAAGCTTCCAAAGTGCCAGGTTTGACTCAACCACTAACTGAAAAGGCTGAAGTAGGCAGACAGGATGCAATTTACTAGACTGCAAAACACCATCTAATTATTTTTTTCATTCATATATTCATCATGTATTTAGTTTCAAATGTATCCCAAAAGATATCCTTTACATAATCTTTTAAAAAGGAAAGTTGATCTGAGGTGCTTAACAGAGCAAAGACAAGTTAAACAAAAGAAACATACATACATTATACATATATACATGTATGTATATGCTAATGTGTGAAATGCACATGCAATGAAGCTAAAAAGTAGGTTAGTGTTTATTACATATTTGATTGTGGATACAGAAGTGCAATGCTATCCTCTGATTGGCTGTGGCAGGTATCGGAGTGCCGGGACTTTACCAAGGTGGACTGGTACCTGGACAAGGTTTGTATCTTTCATTGATTTATCTCAGGCAATATTTGTCACCTTTTTCATCAAGTGATTTTTTTTCGTCTGAGATTCATGTATTATCTTTTGTTTGCTCATCGCTACTTCAGGGTTTGGCGGACGTGGAGTTCTGCCTGGTGTGGCGACAGGAACTGGCCTGAATCCAAAGTCTAGTAAGGGTTCCCTCATGAGTGTTGGGAGTTTTTTTATTTATTTAATGTCCATCGCATGCCACTTTTTTTATTACACTTTGCAACAGAATACAATCACAGGAAACACAGCTGTGGCAGATAAAACAATAAAATAAACAATACTTCAATAGACAACGCAAAGATATATTCAAAGGAACACTAAAGGTAAATAATAAACACATGAACTAAGTCAATTAATTTTGTTAAATGTAGGCTGGTTGTCAAGTACATTATATATCCAAAAAGGATCATGGTCTGTATGCAGTTTACTGATATATATTCAACAAATATTTTTGTTTTAAGGCCAGTGTTTGTGTCATTGCTAAAACTCGTCTCATAATTACATTCACACCTTCATCTTCTTTCATCTTCGTGATTGGATTGTTTGATTGTTTTGTTGCAGTTGGAGGGGCAGGACAAGCAGGTCAAGGACCAGGTAACTAGATTTATAATATGCTATATTACAAACATATACATTTGTGTTTTTGTCACTATTATTGGTTTTTGATAATCAAGTCTGTACACATGTATTCTGTCACAGGAGGTCGTGGGTACGGTGGCCCGATGCAGCCGGGACTGTTCCACGGATACCCCCTAAAATCCCCCAAAGTGCAAGGTGAGATATATATCCCTGTGGGTCAAAGCAGATGGTTTTTGCTTACATTTTGGATTTTGTTCAAACGTTATATATGCTTTTCAAAACAAAGAAAAAAAATCTTTTAAAATGTTGGCTGAGTTGCTTATTTATATATCAATGAAGTTTGGTAGGGGCACAGAAAATAATCCAAATGATTGAAAGGCACAAGCAATTGCCAAATGTGTCATTACTGGCATTTTAAAATTGAAAAGGTCCAATCATGATTAGTTTGAATTTCAACATCTGTAACAGAATCAGAATCAGGGATCTGACAAGCCTTGTTTACCAGTCGCAAAAAAAACCTTCCTTAATTAAAGTAGGACAGTAATTCAAAACTGAATTTATATTTAAAGATCTTTTAAGACATATACATTGGGTATTATTAAGGATTATGTATTAGAGGCAAAACAAAAGACAAAAGCTAACCAAAAGCAGCTGCTTCCAAACACACTAACAAGTGCAATTCTACCTCAGTAATGTAATAATGCACTACATGGAATAACTAATACAATTTACTATAATTAATTAAAAGCTGTTTTTAATGTATTTGAAGCAATCAAGTCAAGTAAATGGCAACATAATTCCACTGCGTTTTAAACTTTCAACCATGTCTCAGAAAATGTATTTTAGACCCAGTTTTTAAGGTTTTGCCAAGCAGCATTATTTTTGGCTCATTGTTTGGCTCCCATGTATTTGTCTCACTCCCCTCAGGTGGCTACGGAACAAAAGCCGGTGGCAAACAACCTTTAGGTAAGACAAGTTTCCGAATTTTTACTTTTTTTTGCAAACATTTGGCATAACCTTGGCATACGTTCACTGGTGAATGATGTTTCACATTACAATGTTTCAGGTTATGGCTTTGGTAATGGCGGCGCTGGACTTCCTGGAGGACAGGGTGGTCCTGTGTTGAGGCCTGGATATCCTGTTGGAACTGGTGTGTTTTTACGAGTGTACTGACAATTTATATGTTGTAGAATTAAAAATAAAAGACTAAAGAATGATAAATGTTTCTTTTCTTTTTTTCTGCAGGAGTTGGGCCCGGTGGCATCTCCCTTGCTCAGGCTAAAGCTGCCAAATATGGTAGCCTACCTGATTTATTTTGTGCAGTGCCTTTGTAACAACAAATTATTATACAATTTGTGAGACATTAGTAAAGAAACACATTGTATCTCACTAAAGTTTGTGATTTCTTTTCAGGTGTTGGCAATCTTGGCAATGTTGGTGGTGCTGGTGGTCTGTATCCAGGGCAGGTGCCAGGAGGTAGGGTATCATGGTGCCATTTTCACACCTTCTTGACCCATACATTTAATCCAAATCTGTCGGATGTTGGAAAAAAACATGTCATGGCATCTCACCTGCTCAGGCTAAAGCTACCAAATGGTAGCGACTATGCTTTTCCAACAAGGAAAAAAACACAAATCAAATGTTGAAATACCAGTAAAGAAACACTGAAGTTTGTGATTTCTTCTTCAGGTGTTGGCGGTGCTGGTGTTCAGTATCCAGGGCAGGTGCCAGGAGGTAGAGTATCAACAAAAAAAAATGTTTTGCATCCTCGTGACTTAAAAGTTAATTCCACGTCCGAAAAAACTGTTTTGTTTAATGTTGGAATAATTTTTCACATTTGATAGTTAAGAGGGGATTTATTATGGAATAAGGAAAAGACATGCCAGACAATACAATTTGTGAAACATCGGTAAATAAACACATTTGTACCTAACTCAAGGTTTTGATTTCTTCTTCAGGTGTTGGCGGTGCTGGTGGTCTGTATCCATGGCAGGTGCCAGGAGGTAGGCTATCATGGTGCCTTTTTCACACCCTCATGCCTTAAAAGTTTAATTTATATCAATTGGATATTTGAAAAAAAGTATTCTGCCTATATTTGATGGTTAAGTGGAGATAATTATAGAAAAAAGGAAGATGGTCACTAGACGTTTGACCACGGCCTTCAGCTTGACTAAAACAATAGAAAAGACCAAAGAATGCTGAATGTTTTTTTTCTTTCTGCTGCAGTGGGGACCGGTGGCATCTCACCTGCTCAGGCTAAAGCTGCCAAATATGGTAGCTACCTGATTTACTAACAGCAATGCTTTTGTACCAAGAAAAACACAATATAATGTGTGAAACATCATTAAGAAACACATGTGTACGTGTACCTAACTAAAGTTTGTTATCCCTTCTTCAGGTGTTGGCAATGTTGGCGGTGCTGGTGGTCTGTATCCAGGGCAGGTGCCAGGAGGTAGAGTATCATGGTGCCATTTTCACGCAATGCTTTCAAATTTAAATCTATTGGATATTGGAGAAAAATGTCTGCCTATATTTAATGGTTAAGTGTAATTATATAATTAGAAAGGAGGACCGGTAGCATTTCACCTGCTCAGGCTGCCAAATATTATAGTTACCCTGATTTATTACCAGCAATATGTTTGTAGCAAGAAAAGAAAAGAAAACATTGTGTGAAACATTAGTATAAAAACACATGTGTGACTCACTAAGGTTTGTTATTTATTTTTCAGGTGTTGGCAATGTTGGCGGTGTTGGCGGTGCTGGTGTTCAGTATCCATGGCAGGTGCCAGGAGGTAAAGTAACGAGGAAAAACAAAAACAAAAAGTGTGCCATTTCCACACCATCAGGAGTTAAAACTGTAATCAAAACCCCAATACAGTATTTCTGGACATTGGAAAAAATATATTTCTGCCTATGGTTGATCTTTAAGATGATACAATTATGGAAAAAAAGGGAAAGGCTCACCAGACATTTGACTGCAGCCTGCAGCTTTACTAGAACAATAGAGAAGACCAGAGAATCCTGAATGTATTTTTTTTCTTTCTACAGGAGTTGGGACCGGTGGCATCTCCCCTGCTCAGGCTAAAGCTGCCAAATATGGTAATTACCTGATTTATTACCAGCAATGCTTTTGTACTAAGAAAAGACAATACAATGTGTGAAACATCAGAAAAGAAACATATTTGTATCTAACTAAGTTAGTTATTTCTTCTTCAGGTGTTGGCAATGTTGGCGGTGTTGGCAGTGTTGGCGGTGTTGGTGGTGCTGGTGTTCAGTATCCATGGCAGGTGCCAGGAGGTAAAGTAACGAGGAACAACAAAAAGATAACTAAAGTGTGCCATTTCCATAACATCATGAGTTAAAACTGTAATCAACACCCAAATATATTTCTGCCTATAGTTGATGTTTAAGACGAGACAATTATGGAGAAAAAAAAGGGAAAGGGACACCAGACGTTTGACTGCAGCCTGCAGCTTTACTAGAACTATAGAGAAGACCAGAGAATCCTGAATGTATTTTTTTTCTTTCTACAGGAGTTGGGACCGGTGGCATCTCACCTGCTCAGGCTAAAGCTGCCAAATATGGTAGCCTTCCTGATTTATTACCAGCAATGCTTTTGTACTAAGAAAAGACAATACAATGTGTGAAACATCAGAAAAGAAACATATTTGTATCTCACAAGTTAGTTATTTCTTCTTCAGGTGTTGGCAATGTTGGCGGTGCTGGGGGTGCTGGTATTCCATATACAGGGCAGGTGCCAGGAGGTAAAGGCAGACGTTTGACCACAGCCTACAGCTTTACTAGAACAATAGAGAAGACCAGATAACCCCTTTTTTTCTTTCTACAGGAGTTGGGACCGGTGGCATCTCACCTGCTCAGGCTAAAGCTGCCAAATATGGTAGCTACCACATTATTACCTATAATGCTTTTCCAACCAGTAAACATGTGTTTAACATTAGTACAGAACACAATTTGTAAGCTGTGATCTCTGCTCCAGGTGTGGGTGCAGTTGGTGGTGTTGGTGGTGTTGCTGGCACTGGTGGACTGTATCCAGGGCAACGGCCAGGAGGCACTGGTGGACTGTATCCAGGGCAACTGCCAGGAGGCACTGGTGGACTGTATCCAGGGCCAGGAGGCACTGGTGGACTGTATCCAGGGCAACTGCCAGGAGGCACTGGTGGACTGTATCCAGGGCAACTGCCAGGAGGCACTGGTGGACTGTATCCAGGGCAGCTGCCAGGAGGTAAGATACCGTGCAAAAGACAAACAAAAAGGTTTAAAGCCATACTAAAGTGAAGTATAGAGCTTCTCAGGATAGTCCTTGGAAAATTCAGTTTGGCAGAGGTTACGAAAGTGAATTTTTTTTTGTTTCCTACAATTCAAACGAATCAGCTCAACAAATTAAGTGCTTTAGAAAGCTACAGCAAGCTTTAGTCGTTTTTTCCACATCCTGCTGACCAAGTGACAGCCTTCTTCTTGGGGAAGAAAGAAATGTGACAAACTTAGCTATGATTAAACCAAATGAAAAGCCACACTGCTGGCGAACATCTGAACTATTATGGTTGATTTAATTTTTTTTTCGTTCTTTCGGAGTAGGTTCTGGAGGCATCTCACCGGCTCAGGCTAAAGCTGCTAAATATGGTAGCCTAACACCTTTATTTCCTACAATGCTTTTCTATCAAGACAAAACATAAAGTTGTGCAACATGATTAAAGAACATGATTGGATCCAAACAGAGTCTGTGCTCTTTGCTGCAGGTTTGGGTGTGGCAGGGGGTGTTGGTGGTGGAGGAGGTGGTGGGGCTGGAGGACAGTATCCAGGGCAACTGCCAGGAGGCACTGGTGGACAGTATCCAGGGCAGGTGCCAGGAGGTATGATCTAGCAAAAGACATAAAAAGCTAAACTGAAAATGTACAGTAATCATTCTTATAACTGAAAAGTGAATAGCATTGTTTTTGTTGTTTTTCCCATTACTTATTTAAAAGATGATGCCATATGCTTGTATTTATGTTTCCATTATATATCCACTCATCTAAGTAACTTAACCTTGAATTCAGTAACAGCATCTCGATAAATGTTGGCTCCAAATAGGATCAAGATTACCAGGAGGTGCACCAGTGTTTGGGGGATATTCACCAGCAGCCAAAGCAGCTAAATATGGTATAGTGTATAAATGAATTAGTGTATAACGTTTTTTTTGTCTTTGTGTATTTTGTGTATTAACAGGAACATAATCATTTTAGTGGAGTAAGTATTGAATATCATTACGTTTTTTTTCTTGCCCCCTTGGCCCTGCACACTATAGGACAAGGAGGAGCAGGAGGACAATTAGGAACAGGAACACTGGGAGGACAAGGCGGACAATTAGGGACCGGAGGACAGGGAGGACAAGGAGGACTGGGAGGACAAGGCGGACAATTTGGGACCGGAGGACAAGGGGGATATTCTGCTGCTGCTAAAGCTGCTAAATATGGTATTTTTTTCCACCAAATATAAAAATCCAACTAAGTTTAGAAACATCTTTATTGTCTTTGGCTTCACTCAAGTCTCTCTTGTAAAAACATATCTTGATTTCAATTATAACAGGATTAATTAAGGGGAATTTACATGGATGGAGAAGAAGCTGTGTTGCCATGACTATAACAGCACTATATATTGCTATAATTATCTTTGGGACATCACAACCTTAAGAAGTTCTGGTGGTGGTTTGTTTAAAGGCAAAGTTTATTTTACAATACGAGAGACTGCTTTTTATCAGTGCAAAGCCAGTGAAATGGAGTTGATGTTCCAAACAGCGACATGTTTAGGATGCACAGAAAAAGGAGGAATAGTCATTTGAGTTTAAGTTTTTTCTTTTAAAGTTCTACTATTGATTCTTAGTTGTTTTTCATTGTTATAAATTCTTATATAGATAATTCAATTGCAAGAAAAAACTCAACATCATCCTGCATTTAACCATACCACCAGCTTCACATGGAAATACATTTGTCTTTGACAGGCGTAGGCAGACTAGGAACAGGAGGCTTCGGAGGAGCAGGAGGAGTAGGAACAGGAGGAATAGGAACAGGAGGCTTCGGAGGAGCAGGAGGAGTAGGAACAGGTGTATTAGGTGCAGGAGGAGCAGGAGGATACTCAGCTGCTGCTAAAGCTGCTAAATATGGTAACTCGATTTCAAAATAAATTTCTGACCAGAACTATAGATATTGTAAGTAGTATTTTAAGTGAGTGTGCATGATTAAAATATTATTGTTTTGCATCAAGGTCAAGGCGGTGCAGGGGGTGTTCCAGGTGGTGGTGCAGGTGGAGGAGGAGTTCCTGGACGAGTCCCATTTTTACCAGGATATGGATGTAAGCATGCTCCTTCATCTACATGAGCATTATAAGTTTTTTTTTATTACTGACTAAAATCACATCTCTCTTCTCACCCTCTTCTGGGCATATTGTATTGCAGCGCTGGCGGCTGGTGCTAAACCTCCTAAATATGGTGAGAGCGGGTATTTTTTCCCATTTTACGTAGTGTCATGATTATCATTTCATAAAGTGTGGCCTCCCAATAATGTTGATGGTGAAGAAATGATTATCTCAATCCATTGAAACAATAACAAGTTTTGGTAAATTGTGCCTTGAATGCATTGATAGATTGTATTTGTTTGAAATGGCAATAGCTTACCAATAAATTCTGTCAAATGTAATATTTATTCCTAACATCCCGGAGCAGGCCAAGGAGCAGGCCAAGGAGCAGGCCACGGAGCAGGCCAAGGAGGCGTAGTTCCAGGTGGAGCAGGACAGCCACTTCCTGGTGTTGGTGCCGGCTATGGTTGTGAGTTTTAAAAAATAAGCGTAGACAAAAGGTTTTTGCTGTTTCATTTATGATAATTCAATATGATGCAATGACTTCTAGGTAACAAATATAATGTTGCCTCCCAACAGGGTATGGACCTGGGGCTGGAGTCAAACCCCCAAATCATGGTAAGATGTTTTCTTTAAAGATGTAATATGTACATTTTCTACTTAAATATTTTTAATAAGACCTACTTAAAAAATCTGTTGAGTTGTTCTATTACCCAAAAACCAAAAGTGTATTGAACCTAGAGAAATCTGTAATATGTAATCAAGGTCTTCAAGGTAAACCGTTTTTTTTCATCTGGTGTCCTTTCAGTGTGACGTTAAGCGCTTTGCTTGTCTGCCAAAAGTTGTCCTAAATGTACTTTATCAATGAGTTAAGCCACATTTCTGCAATACTGTTTTTAGATCTAGGTTGTTGATTTATGTTAACCAGATGAAGGATTTTAGTTGAGTTTTTTAGTATATGCAGAGTTGGATCTTGAGTTATCAAGGAAAAAGCAAACGTTAGAGGCAGCTCGGCTCTCAACCTCTCAATACTGAACTCAAGAAGTGTAGTCCACAAACCAACCGGTGACCTTTTGTACGGTCCATACCGTAATTAATTATAGAAACGGCACATTTTCTGTTGAATAGGAGTTGCGGGAGGCGCTGGAGCAGGGTTTTTTCCAGGGTGGGGAGGAGCAGGAGCAGTTCCTGGTGCTGTCCCAGGACTGGGAGCTGGACAATACTTAGCTGCCGCAAAAGCTGCTAAATACGGTATCAAACCCAAACCCAAATATCACAAATTCAGAGACATTCATTATCGTATTGACTTACAGGAACTCTGCAGTTTTCAGTAATTACACATGTATTTTCTCTTTTTATTTGTCTTTATCTACTTGTTATTACATTTCACTAACCAAACTTATCATGGAACCTGCTTCATTTGCCTTAATTAGGAGTTCAAGGAGGAGCTGGAGTGGGGCTCGTACCAGGAGCAGGAGGAGTACCAGCAGGTACCGGCTACTTTCAAGGTGGACAATACTCTGCTGCCGCAAAAGCTGCTAAATACGGTAAAATAAATAGCCACACAAACCCCAATCTTAAACATTGAGTTGTGTAAAAATGTATTCCAACAGAAACTTTAATTTATCTTTTTATTAGATTATATTAATTGCGCCAAAAACTAAATGTTCACACTTTTTCATTTGTTGTGTGTAAACTGATTTAAATTGGTTGGGCATTGTTTAAGTGTTGATTAAGATAATGATATCTTTTCCCCTAATCAGGTGTTGGAGGAACAGCTAGAGCAGGGTTAGGAACAGGAGGACAGGGAGGGGCCGGAGGAGGTGGGGCACCTACTTTTTTTGTATTATTTATCTGTCATCTTACAAAGTGATAACATTTGTGTCACAATTCAGATTTGGATGATATTATAGACTTTATTGACTATTGAGTTTATGCAGAACATCCAGGTGGTGTGAAAGCACAAAAACATGATAAAGAGCGTCTGGAAACTCTTTCAGTCATTTTTTTTCACCAGTTTTACAAGTAAAAAAGTCCCATTTCCTAAAAGCATCTGTTCGACATGTCTTAAACTCTTCCACATGTCCAGGATTAGAGGTTGGAGTAAGTATAAATAAGTATAAACAGGGGGAAAAGCTTTGTTCAATGAACTACAAGAACACCTCAAGTATGGTGGATTAACTTTCTAAATTAACTCCACATGAATTAACTAAACAAAGAGGACCTGTCTAAACATTGCTGACAATTAACTTCATTATAAAACGTACAAAATTGCCTTAAATTACTCTCTTTGGGTTTATTGAAAATGCATTCCTTTCACACGTAAAGGTAGTGTTTCCCTTCTGCTAAGATTTAACTCTTTATGTGACTTTGTTCATCACAAACTATAACAAATTATGTTATACTGTAACAGTAAACACAATTGTTTTTGGGAAGACAGGCTCCTATCTAGACTTACTATTTACCAGTGGTATTTGGTCATATTGAGCTAAATACAAACTACAAAGTCCACAATAGAGTATTATTGATGTATCAAGGAAAAACCAGAAACATCAAGAGCCACTATTTTGAGCCTTTCAGTTGGAGACTTGCACAAAAGCTTTTAGTTTTTTTAATTTAGCATTCAGATAACGGTGGCATGTATTTGCTAACCTTGTGTGCCTCTTGTAGGAGGCGTCACTGGGGTTGGCGTTGGGCGGGGACAAGCTACTCGAGCTCCAGAGGTCGGCGTTGGCACAAATGGTTCTGCTGTTGGGGTGCCAGGTGACGTAGAAAATACAGGTTCATTTTTCTTAGATTTGCCTTTATAAAGGTGTTCTATTATGAATCGTGTTTTTATTGATCTTATAGCAACGGATGCAAGTGCTGCTGGAACTGTTCAACCAGGTACAGTGAAATGCCAGTACTCTGCATGTGTTAGGAAATCAAATGTACACACATTCACACATGTATGTTTTTGCAGTAGCTGTATAAATCATATGGGAGGAAAGGGAAGCAGCATTTCCACTTTCAGTATATTTTGCAATTGCGCTGTAGCTCTGGGTTACTGCACCCCAATGTGCCATCATTTATTAACTCTACATTTTTTTCATCCATTTCTTGCCCACACATGTTTGTATTGCTAGTGCTAGCAGCTATTGACCACTTCTGGCTTACAGCCTCCCAGCTGTGGCAGTATTGTATTCCCCCTCACAGCTTCTGCCTCTTTTAGGCTTTCTAACTCGCGCTTTTTTATGGCACAATGGATGAAACTTTGCCATGTTGTCTTTTGGCAGAGCCCACGCCTACTGTCGCAGAGGTCCTGCAGCCCAGTAAGACTCGCTGTTTGCATGAAACATGTGTCTCTAAAATAAAATCTGTGGTATTTATATCTAATTTATTTATGTTTCTCTCTGATACAGAATAGGACATTCCAATGAGTATTTGTGAATATACGTATTTGCCGAAATAGACACTTCACAATCTTTAGTTTTGCAGGTCAATGTTTTAATCAGCATCCAGATTTATCTTTATTATTACATAATCAAATCTTAAGAGCACAATTTGTAAGTGTAGCCACATAACTATACAACCTGTTGGTATATTTGGTTAATGGTTCATTCTTAATGTACATTTCCCCTCAAATAAAGGTATTCTGATTCTGAATTGGTTTCCCAGCAGCCTCCACTGGCATATTTTATTCTCACCCACATGAATATATTATACAAAATGGGAATACACTCATCATTTATAAGCACAGACATGACAGTATGGGCCTGTTCTTGCCACTGTGATGTGATCTCTGCCGCTCTAACACCATTATGTCAGTCGTGGTCACATGTTGTCGCTTTCCCTCAACAGTACTTACAGTATCTTGTGCAATCTCGCCTTCTACACTAACACAATCACTGTGCTTATCATTGTTTAGTTTTGTTGCTCTATTGACATAATTTTCTCACGTTAAATACTTGTTTTGCATTACTTCAAAAGGATGTCTCGCTCCTATCATTGCTGTATGTTTCTCCTATACCTTACTTTACCAACATTTACATTTTGGCTCTGTTTTACAGTTTCACCATTACCAGCAGATTTATATGTGAATGATATAAATGTAATCAAACCAAACAGACAAGATTATTGAAATGTTGTTTTGTAAAACACAATTTTACTGATGAATTGTTCTTCTTTTTTTGCACTTCTTACTGGTGTGGTGGCTGTGTGAAAACAGGCGGTGGGTTTAAAATAATTGCATATTTTTAATTCACTTCTGAATCTGTTTTATCTTGTTTTAATCCTTGTTTTTATTCCTGGATGTTTTACAGTTTCTGGTGGCATTCTTCAGCCCAGTGGTAAGTGGTTCTGCATATTGTTTTTTAAACATTCATTCTAGTAAATACAAACATTAGATGGTTAACGTGGTGAACCATTGTTTTTGTTTTATTTCACAGCTGGCACAAGTGTTGGTATGTCAAAACTCTCTCATATTGAAAATAAACCAAACAATATGCAACCATATATTATTTTCTGTTCTATTCAGACATTAGATTTTTGACTCCCACCTTTTGTATTTGTTTGTCACAGGTGGAGCAGGTGTTGCAGCACCCTCTGGTGGTAAGAGTGCCATTTATAGTTTTACATTATCATGTTGGAGTTGTATGAAATATAGTGTTTTGTTCCAAATGTATTTATTTTAAAGAGATTGCTCTCTTTTTGTCTGTTAACATGTGTAACATTCACTAACTGAAACCTCTGCTTGTGTTTTAGTTGGTCCAACTGGCCAAGGCCAGCCTGGTAAGTGTAAACAACCTCTGTTTGAGATTGACTTAAATGTTACAAATATAAGAGTTAGGTCTCGATATGATACCACACCAACCTCAAAGTTCACCTACTCATGTTACTCTGTAAGTAAAAAATAATTTTTGGACCGACACTATAATTTAAAGTTTTTTACTATGTTCAATCTGAATTTTCTTTAAAATAAAAAACATCTATTTTGATTCTGACTCTACATCCAACTCACAGGTTTATCATTACTTTGAGAAAAAAAGATTATTAATTTAACCCTTTTAGAAGGGAAGATATGTTCATTTGTTCTGGGAATGTCACTTTCGAGCCTGAGACCTGAAAAACAGGCTTGGGGCCTAACATGTTAAACTTTAAACACAAGTCATGTGCACGGAAATGCTGTTCAGC